CCCCAAAACCCCAAAACCCCAAAACCCCAAAACCCCAAAACCCCTAAGGAAAATTCCAAGATTGAACTACTAAAATTAGTCAAAATGAATTTAAGACTCTGTGCCACAACTTTTAGTAGAAATTTTGGATTTTAGCTGGAAGACTGGCCCTTCTGGTCTGTATAGTGATGTTATTCTGGTGAACATGAGACATGCTTGTGGAGGGATTATGGAGGGTAGCGGGTGGGTGATCGTTCTTGTGGTGAGAGACATAGCAAAATATAACCCTACGAGCGATTTTTAAGGCAGCGGATTGGGGGTTAGGTCGGTTTCAGTGAAACATGATCTTGTTAAACCCTTTAGTTACCCTCTTCTTTTCAGACTGTGGCTTTGGGATTTCTGAACAATAATAAATTGCCTTATTTGATGCAAAGTTCAGGTAGATCAGCCCTATTTCAGACTTAATTCTGCAATTTGAATAGAATGAAGTGGTTATTTATAGATTTTAGCAGTTGGTGCTCTTCTGCTGAAAACTGGTGAGGAGACTTCAGCTCTTCTCAGTTTGTATACAGTATTGCAAACTCTTCTCTTAGAGACAGCCCCTTCTTCAATGAGAACATGTACAAAGGATCTTCTTTAATATAACTTTTAGAACTAATGTCCTTTCTTGTTGAAAGATGTATAATTCTCCAAATTTTGTGAGGCTCTTCTATCGATTGAGTCTTCATGATAAGTTCTTGGTTCACTTTACTCGTAGGGATAGCTCCTGGCTTTAGTTTGACATATTCAAGATACTCTATTGGAGCTTTTGTGACTAAAATTAACAAGAAGTAGTTACCTTTGCTTGAGTTAAGAGGGTACTTTACTTTTTCATCTCCCAAGTTGTTAGAATTTTCTCTCGATTTGAAGAGAGGCTTCACCTTAGTGCTAACTGCTGGACTCTTTGTAACAATTATTCTCTGTTTCTTTGTCAATCAGTTCAAAAATTTCTTCACATAATTGCTATTGGAATGCATGTACTCTTTATGGAGGTGCCTGAGGTACATCTCCTCACTGATTTTCGCTCTAAAGCAATCTTTAACTGACTCAATAAAGTTAAGTTGCTCAGGACGGGCTATAATAGAGGTAGTTGTAGGAGGAGTAGAGCAGATGACCCATGGTGCAGAATGAACAGGAGATGGTGGTAGCTTTTGCAGATTGAGATTTTGAGGAGAAAGAAGTGAGTTTAGGCGGTCTAAAGTGGAGTGAATTTGCTTATTTTAAGGCAACAGGATCGTTCCATTGAGTGATAGAAAGAATGTAGGCCTTGGGAGAGGATTTGGAGGGGCGGAGGCTGAATTGGCGTCTGGAGTTCATTTTGGAATTTAAAAGATATGCAGAATCAATTTTTCGTTACTCTAAAGGGGTTTTGGGGTTTTGGGGTTTTGGGG